CGATTTCCTCAGTTTTTCCTGACCAGCTGTAGGTAGTTAACTAACTTACCGTAGCTGGGGATTAATACCTCAAACCAGCATTCCTCAACACCCTGAAGCTCAATTATTTCACAAAATCCCGTCATTTCTCATCTCTATTCATCCTTCATACTGGATGCCTTCAGCGTGAGAACGCTCAACCGGATCAACCAATGTATCTGTATAAATCCTGGCATCACATTCATTCGAAAACAGACTCTGTGGTAGTAGCATTGTCACCAAACTACCATTATCGACTGCCTGTTAAAATCACTACCTAGGTTCTATCAATTGTGGTGGGAATCGCACAAAACAGCCTATTGAGGGCAGTCATAGCTCATTGGTTAATTGCCAATTGTCGCCTCTTTGCCACCCAGCCAGAGAACAACGTACACCGATAAATCAAATTTCTCCAAAAATTGTTTTTCGCTTCAGCCCACGCTTCTATGTACGGCAGTAAAGACGTTTAGGATGCTTTTTGTGAAAAAAACATTTGCTTCAGAGGGCGACAAAAAACAGATGGTACTCTTGCCAGAGACCTGAAAATTCAGCTGGGTACACTTAAGCCCGTAAGAACCGCAGTGGAGAAAAGACGCTCCCGCTTCTCGGGACGGTCGTATCAATTTTGACATCGCTCTGTTGCTTCTTGAAAGGGAGTCTTGGTCTCCGTAGGCGTAAAAGAAACATGTAAATTAAAAATGTTTGTTTTTCAATCGTCAGTGTTTGTGCTCTACTCTAAAAACACAACACTAAAACAGTGAAGAATGTACACGATATAGGGAACTGCCTTGTTTGGAAAGTGATATTGTAATGTATTGAGAACAAACTAATGACCGAGTAGACTACACGTTGTTAAACAGTTTGCGCTAGGAATGAAATAAACTACTGGATGAATCACTTCATATGTTCCCATCATTGTATGGGAATTTTGAAAGAGCCCAACCTGGAATAAGTATCGGTAAACTAACTTGGAAGTGCAAAACTCAAATAAATAATCGAATTCTGCCCACCCCTCCTAGTACAGTTTAATCAGAACTGTTCCCATTAGAAAACTCCTCGTTGGATCGAAAACGCAAATTGTGACAGCTCATTCTTGTTGATCTGTTTCTGCTATGATACGCAGTTGAAAGAGTCAACCTAATGGTCACGAGGACCCAATATTCAATCCTGGTAGTCGGTAAACAATGCCCTAGTTTCAGTTTTTACAAACATTAAACATGCACCTTCGAGGGGCCGGGTTTGGTTGCCCATTTGGACAAAAGAGCGAAATGAAGATTGGAATGTCGAAGCAAATTCAAGCGGAAGAT